TAATATACCATTCACATGATCCGTTACACGTATAATATACCACGTCTAATATACCATTCACATGATCCGTTACACGTATAATATACCACGTCTAATATACCATTCACATGATCCGTTACACGTATAATATACCACGTCTAATATACCATTCACATGATCCGTTACACGTATAATATACCCGTATATTAGACGTGGTATATTATACGTGTATCGGATCATGTGAATTATATTATACGTATAACCTACATCTAATATACGATTCACATGATCCCATATACGTATAATATACTACTTCTAATATACGATTCACATGATCTGTTATACGTATAATATACTACGTCTAATATACGATTCACATGATCTGTTATACGTATAATATACTACGTCTAATATACGATTCACATGATCTGTTATACGTATAATATACTACGTCTAATAGACCATTCACATGATCTGTTATACGTATAATATATATATATATATATATATATTGTCCTTGCCATTTCGTTAGTTCCGAGTTATGGTAAAAGCATTTTATTCCTTTCAACTTGATATTTATGGCAAATCTACTAAGGCTATCTGCCACCGTCCTTAATTTTGGACTATTGACCAGAGGGAAGGCAGCCAGTCAACAGTAAGCTCTACCACGGGGCCAACTAAGATAGCACTTCTAATTTTAATCAGCAAACTCTGTGTTTTTTTATATTTTTTTTTTTATTTGTTTTTTTTAACTACGTTATTTTTTGTCTTTCGGGTGTAAAATATCGTGATTTGAAGTGTATAAATATTCTTCTATGAATACGTGATATTTAGTCGCAAAAACTATCAAAAACACCAATCATGACAGGTTGTAAAATCAAAAGATAAAATATTAACAGAACTATTGTTTGTGATACTATTGGTTTCTTTGTTTAAACCATTATTTAGGCTTAAATACGCCTGTTGCTACCTTAATCAGTTATTTAAAGTTAAATATGCCTGTTACTACCGTAAGTAGTTAATTAGGGTTAAGATTAGTGGTTGCTATGCTTAAACAGTTATTTAGGGTTAAATACGCCTGTTGCTACCTTAATCAGTTATTTAAAGTTGAATATACCTGTTGCTACCGTAAGTAGTTAATTAGGGTTAAGATTAGTGGTTGCTATGCTTAAACAGTTATTTAGCGTTAAATACACCGGTGGTTACTTTGTGTAAATCATTATTTTGGGTTCAAAAATTATAAGCCCCCCCCCCCCCATGGCTCAACAGTAAAGTTGAAGAAGTATAACGCTAAAACTCGGGGTTCAATCCCTATGATGGGTACAGCGGATAGTCCATTAACATTTAGTTGGTGTTAAACACCAATTTTTTATTTCGACCTCTGATGTACTTTAGTTTTTGTTAGATACCAGTATTTTGTATTCAGTCGTCCAGTCTGATAGTGAGGAGAAACAAGCGATTTTCTGGAAGTTCGGACAACTGGACAACAACAGAGATGGTATTCTAAGACGAAAAGAAGTGCGTGACCTCCAGAGAATGGCCAAAAAAATAGTGGAACCGCGACTGTGCGCTAAAACTTTCAGGAGACATTGTGATTTTGACCATGATAAGAAGATCTCCTTGAGCGAATGGACGTCTTGTCTTTTAATGGACATCAATCGTAAGTGTAAAAGGAAACTAAAAACAAAACAGAAACTTAAATGTGACGTCATTAGTGTTTTAGTACTTAAAGAAATTGTTATGGGCCTTTAGATTGCAGTTCACGTACTGATAAAATAAGCCATAACAAACCATATGTTAAATACATAATACGTTCTTATAATTAGTGGGTATTTGTAGACAGAAAACATACGATATCATTCTATATGGAGAAATACATACCCCATTCACTGTTCACACAATATACAATACTCCTACTTTTCAAGAAAATATAATTAATAAATTACTATTTATTTGTTTATAAACAAACAGTATACTCCGTATTTCCAAACAGGAATACACAATACATTCAGTAATTAACCAAAAATTCATAATATTATAATTTTCAAACACGTAAAATACACGTAGTATTCACTATTACAAACATTAATTGATAATGGTAAATTAGGACATTAACAAGGTGTCAATATTTACCTTTTAAAATATTGTGAGAAACCGGATATAAATATATGAACTACAGTATTTCTACATCAGCTATAACATTAATAGTGTTAAACAATAATAAATGTGTAAAAAAAAAAAACATTTAACAGTATGAAAGCTTTTATAAGCACAGTATCTTAAATAAAGTAATAGGATTGGTTGTTTCTAGTTAAGCACACAGCTACACAATGGGTTATCTGTGTTATGCCTACCACGGGTATCTAAACCCGGTTTCTAGCGTTGTAAGTCCAGACATTCCGCTGTGCCACATATTCTAGTGTACTCACCAATTGAATGTCCTGGTGAAAGCTTATCACTTTGCCGTTCCGATTTTGTAGCTTTTCAGATCACAAAATAATCAATTAAACACTGAATAGTTACGTAAACATTAATATTAACTGAAACTTGCCGGCGAGAGAAAAAATGTAAATAAAGTCACGACAGCACCACTAAGTGGCAGCGTCGGTTAACTACAGCCGTGGACTTCCGAGAGCGTTCCGAAACATTCCGAATGGAATTGTAATGGACGCTGGATACGAAGATGGCGGATAACAAAGCTTTTACTGTTCTCGCCATTTGCACAAAAAAAAACAACACAGTGCACTCGCCATTTGCACACACAAAAAAAAAACAGTACACTCGCCATTTGCACACAAAAAAAAAACAGTACACTCGCCATTTGCACACAAAAAAAAAACAGTACACTCGCTTTTTGCACAAAAAAAAACAGT